CACCGGCCTGGGCTACACAGTGAGTTCAGAGCCAGCCTAAATGCACAGGCAGACCCTGTCACAAACCAACAAACAAATGAAAGCACTTACTTTAGTACTGGGAGTGTTCCTCAGATTCTTAAAAGCTATGAATCCTTCGATTTGCACCCTAAACGCTAGCGTGCATGAACACATGCTGTAGTTAGATGCATAAACAGCCCTGAATCATGCCTACAAAACAGCATTCTGCAGGACCACAGGGTAGCACGGTTCCCAGAGCACTGAAATACACACATGTGCACACACACACACACACACACACACACCAACAATGTTGCGAGGTAGGCAGAGTAGATTTTATTTTTTGATTTATTTAAATAAAGGTTCGGTTCGGTTAGGATTCTCGCCTAAAGTTGAAGAATCTATTGTTAAAAATTTTGTGAATTTTAGCCCTATGTTTATATTACAAACCATGTTATTTAGGATAAATCATTCTTTATTCTATTGGAAGTCACATGCTTGAAATGTAATCACTGAACATATTTTTGTCTTCTTGAGATACAATTATGGGTTTTGGAGTCAGAAAGCTCTAAACTCAAAAGCTAGCGCCACCATTTTATTAGCTGCATAATCTTTTTCTTTTTTCCTTTTCTTCTCTTTTTAAAAAAGATAGCAAGGTTTTACATTTACTAAAGGTAGGAAAAGAAACGTGCTGCAGAATGAGTGTGAGCTTATTAAAATTAGAAAAAGAAATCCACACTGCAGGTGAGGTCAGATCACTGTGAAAGAGAGAGCACAGTGGCTTTTTTTTTTTTTTTGAGACAGGGTCTCATTTTAGAGTCCAGCTTGTCCTCCAACTTGCAATTCTCCTGCTTCAGCCTCCCAAATGCTGAGATTACAAGCTATACCACCAGGCCCAGCAAGTTGAATAAATTACTCAGCTCCTCTGTGCCTCAGCTTCTCCTTTTCTTTTTTGTTTTGTTTTTGTTTTTTTGGCTTTCTTTGAGAGAGGGTTTTACTTTGTAGTTCAGGCTCATTTTGAACTCATTATGTTGCCCAGGTTGACCTTAAACTTGTGGGGGATCCTCCCTCCTTGGCCTCCAGGGTACTGGGATTACAGGGGTGTGTCACCATGCACAGTTTTGTGCCTCAGTTTCTTCATGTGTATAATTGGGATAATGGTAAAACTACTTTGAAAGGTTGCTTTGAGGGTAGAGATAGTCACATATTTAAAGCAGAGTTCCTAGCATATTGGAGAGACCCAGTAAACAAATGGTAATTATTAGAGATGGAAAACCAACAACTTCACTGTTTCCATAATGAGGAATTGCATGATTCGGACTCAAAGCTCTCAAGAACAGTACACGTCTGTCCATTTCTGTCTGGTGTAGCTTTGACACCTTCCTTAATAAGCACTGCCATCTCTGTAATTTTAGAACCAGAATTTAAAGATCTCTCAGTGCACACTTTTCAGTTTATACATAAAGCCACCAAAGCCAGGAGGGATCGAATGAATTGCTTCAAGGTTACAGTGCTACCATGGTTCGTGCTTCACCTTGTAAAGCACACAAAAGCATAAGCGGGAAATAAACTATGGAATAACATCTGGGTTCTAGAAACAAGATTCAGCTCAATGAAGCCTGGAGGAGCAGGTTACACGCGTGCACACACA